AAGTCAGTGTGCCTGTTGCTGAGGGATACCTGAGTACCTGAGCTTGACAGTGCCTTGTACTTTATCTTTGTGTCCTTTCTTGATTTATTTTTGTCCTTTGGGTGCTGATGTGATTTCCTGTTCAGTTTGGATATTTTGTGATTTTGTATTTCAGTGTTAGGGTTTTATTTTGGGGCAGCACGGTGGCGCAACTGGTAGAGCTGCTGCCTCTCAGCGAGCAGGTCCTTGGTTCAAACCCCGATCCAGGGGCCTTTCTGGGTGGAGTTTGCATGTTCTCTCCGTGCATGCGTGGGTTTTCTCCGGGCACTCCGGTTTCCTCCCACAATCCAAAAACATGCATATTAGGCTGATTGGTAACTCTAAAATGTCCCTAGGTGTGAGTGAGAGAGTGAATGGTTGTTTGGCCTGTTTGTCTCTATGTGGCCCTGTGATGGACTTGCGACCCGTCCAGGGTGTACCCCGCCCCTCGCACAGTGATTGCTGGACATGAGCACCAGCGACCCCCGTGACCCAAAATGGAATAAACGGGTAAAGAAAATGGATGGATGGATAGTTTTATTTTGAGTATTTCGGTTTAGGTCTTGTGTTGTTTCCCAGTGTCTTTTGTGCCATCTTCTATTCACCCTCAGTAAGCCTAATTCTCAGTGCCCCCGCCCCCCACCCCCCACCTGTCCCCAGCCTAGTTGTTCCCATTTTCACTCTCACTCAGTTTGATTTTTTTAACGGTCTCTTACCACCATCCCAGCAGCAACTCACTGCATTGGTTTCCCCATATGTCTCGGTCCTCCTCGTGCTTCTCTGTGTTGTTTTGCTTCTGACGTTTGTAAGTCGTTGCCACCACATCATCTTTTTGTTTTGGTTTTGTTAAAATAAATGTTTTGTTCTATTTTGAGCTCTCCTTATCTGGGTCCAACTCCCCACACTGATTGTGACAGATTTGAATAGTGAATGTCTAGTTTTCATGATGAGTGTTTTTCCGGACTGGAGTTGAACAGAGAATGAAGTAAATCTTGTACAAACAAGATTCCAAAAAAGTTGGGACACTAAACAAATTGTGAATAAAAAACTAAATGCAATGATGTAGAGATGGCAAATGTCAATATTTTATTCGTAATATAACATAGATGACAGATCAAAAGTTTAATCTGAGTAAATGTAACATTTTAAAGGAAAAATATGTTGATTCAAAATTTCACAGTGTCAACAAATCCCCAAAAAGTTGGGACAAGTAGCAAAAAGTGTCTGGAAAAAGGAAATTGAGCATATAACAAACAGCTGGAAGACCAATTAACACTAATTAGATCAATTGACAACATGATTGGGTATAAAAAGAACTTCTCAGAGTGTCAGTGTCTCTCAGAAGCCAAGATGGTAAGAGGATAATCAATTCCACCATTGTTGCGCAGAAAGATAGTGCAACAATACCAGAATGGTGTTACCCAGCGTAAAATAGCAAAGACTTTTAAGTTATCATCATCAACCATGCATAACATCATCAAAAGATTCAGAGAATCTGGAACAATCGCTGTGTGTAAGGGTCAAGGCCGTAAAACTCTACTGGATGCTCGTGATCTCCGGGCCCTTAAACGTCACTGCACCTCAAACAGGAATGCCACTGTCAAGGAAATAAGAGAATGGGCTCAGGAATACTCCCAGAAAGCATCGACAGTGAACACAATCCACCGTGCCATCCGCCGTTGCCAGCTGAAACTCTACAGTGCAAAGAGGAAGCCATTTCTAAGCAAACTCCACAAGCTCAGACGTTTGCACTAGGCCAGGGGTCATTTAAAATGGAGTGTGGCAAAATGGAAGACTGTTCTGTGGTCAGATGAGTCACGATTTGAAGTTCTTTATGGAACACTGGGACGCCATGTCGCCCGGACCAGAGAGACCAAGGATAGCCCAAGTTGTTATCAACTCTCCGTTCAGAAGCCTGCATCACTGATGGTATGGGATTGCATGAGCGCTTGTGGCATGGGCAGCTTGCATGTCTGGAAAAGCACCATTAATGCAGAGAACTATGTTCAGGTTCTAGAACAACATATGCTCCCATCTAGATGTCATCTCTTTCAGGGAAGACTCTGCATTTTTCAACACGATAATGCCAGACCACATTCTGCAGCAATCACAACATCATGGCTATGTAGGAGAAGGATCCAGGTACTTAAATGACCAGCCTGTAGTCCAGATCTTTCACCTATAGAGAACATTTGGCGCATCATAAAGAGGAAGGTGCGACAAAGAAGGCCCGAAACGATTGAACAGTTAGAGGCCTGTATTAGACATGAATGGGAGAGCATTCCAGGCAGCACGGTGGCGCAACTGGTAGAGCTGCTGCCTCTCAGCGAGCAGGTCCTTGGTCCAAACCCCGGTCCAGGGGCCTTTCTGGGTGGAGTTTGCATGTTCTCTCCGTGCATGCGTGGGTTTTCTCCGGCTGCTCCGGTTTCCTCCCACAGACCAAAAACATGCATGTTAGGCTGATTGGTAACTCTAAAATTGTCCCTAGGTGTGAATGAGAGAGTGAACGGTTGTTTGTCTCGTTTGTCTCTATGTGGCCCTGTGATGGACTTGCGACCCGTCCAGGGTGTACCCCGCCCCTCGCACAGTGATTGCTGGACATGGGCACCAGCGACCCCCGTGACCCAAAATGGAATAAGCGGGTAAAGATAATGGATGGATGGATGGGAGAGCATTCCTATTTCTAAACTTGAGAAACTGGTCTCCTCTGTCCCCAGACATCTGTTGAGTGTTGTAAGAAGAAGGGGGGATGCCACACAGTGGTAAAAATGGACTTGTCCCAACTTTTTTGGGATTTGTTGACGCCATGAAATTTGGAAACAACAGATTTTTCCCTTAAAATGATACATTCTCTCAGTTTAAACTTTTGATCTGTCATCTATGTTATATTACGAATAAAATATTGACATTTGCCATCTCCACATCATTGCATACAGTTTTTATTCACAATTTGTTTAGTGTCCCAACTTTTTTGGAATCGGTTTGTATTTAGTGCAAGACATTCAAGTGGGCAGGAGTTACAGGAGGTAGTTGGAGGGAATGAGATGGATGAAGATGACTTGCTGTGGCGACCTCTGAAAAGGGAAAAGCCATAAGTAGAGGAGTTACACTGTGTAGAAAAACAGAGGTATTTTTTCTTTTAGCTTGTCAAAGGCCTCACAGAGTGACAGATCCTAATAAGTGGAGGGAGAAATTTTATCCACGACCAGGCACAATGGTGAGATAGGGGGTTGCCAATGGTGGCCCTGACCGCCATGGAATAATTTTCAGCATATACAGTATGGTGGTGGTCATCTTGATGTTGATGTAGTGACCCAATTTTCAATAATGACCTTTCTGTACCTAGATGTAGTCACACACCAAAATGAAATCTGGTACCTGACTTACTTTTCAAGTTATCGTGCTCACAACATGCATTGATGGATGAAGGGTATTACCAACTTCCCTTCAAGGACTCAAGGATTCAAGGTTCTTTATTTGTCATTCCACCACATGTGGTACATGTGGTGGAATGAAATTATACAGGATCCCAGTTACATCCAACAAAAGTATCAAAATGTAAAAGAAAAACAGCAGTAAGATATGAACCAAGAAAAACTATAATAAAAATACACCAAGCACTAGCAGCATAAAATAGCATAAAAACAATACACCGAACAGCAGCGTGCACATGAGTCTGTGTGAGCAGACGAGCACAAATGAACACAGCAAAATGATGATCAGCAGCAACATGATGCGATTTTTCAGTGATTATCCTGGTTAGAGATTCATGAGTCTAACAGCTTCAGGGTAGAAGCTGTTCCTCAGTCTAGTGGTTTTACACTTAATGCTCCTTAACCTCCTTCCTGAGAGGAGCGGGGCAAAAAGTGAGTGTACTGGGTGAGTGGGGTCCTTCATGATGCAGGTGGCCCTCTTCCTGCATCTTGAGGTGTAGATGTCTGTGATGGTGGGGAGGCTGACTCCAACAGCTTCATCGCTTTGATTCATCACTTTCAAAGCTTCATTGCTTTGATAAGAGGGACATTTAGGATACGATGTGCATACAAACCATAACTTGTTCATACTACACAATGCATAGTTTGTCTTTTTTCCCAGACTTGTAGAGGAGAGTTCAGTCTGACTGATAGTGTGGAGTTATCAAATGCAGACGGGTGGCTTATCCTGCACTTCACCCAAATTAAGACGTTTTTTTAATTCATACTGTTTTGTTAGAATATTCAAAGATAAAACAGCATTATAAACAATAAAATGCACCATCTTTAACAATGTGCTATTGAAGGAGATAATGTAAAAGGGTGATTTACGATAACTTTTCTTAAAAACAATCATCTTTAACCACTGGTAGGCTTACAATACTTTAACATGTCTCATCTTCCAAGACTGGGTGGGAATACCTTGGACAGGTTGCAAGTCCATCACAGGGACACACAGAGATAAACGAGACACTCACACGTACAGCTTGAGTAAATGACATCCAACTGCAAAACCTTTTGGTGAGCCAAAATTACCACCACATGTACAAAGATGTCAAAGTCACCTAAAATGGATTCAATCTGCTTTGCAAGAACAAACAGGAACAGCGCCCATGACTTCAAACCTAGAAGTTCATGTTCACAAATTAGCTGTAGCCCAGGGGCCCCACATTTAAATACAGCCCAGCTCAGAAACTGACTGAGCTCAGTCGGATCCAGGAAACGTTACCATTTAAAATAAATTACCAGAGCTTTAGCCACAAACAGGAAGACAACTGCACCTTTTTTCTACAGTATAGGGAATAAACGACACATGATGATATAATGATACCTTGAAAGCATTGAAGAGAATTCCATGTTATTTAGAGTTCTAGAGAACTGGTGCTGACATGTCATAAAGCCAACCCTCGGGACTGGGCGAGGTTAGTGTTAATGTCAGAGGAGGAGACACCACACACTGGCTTCCTGCTCAGTTTAAAACCAATCTGTTTCACCTGGACCAGCTCTCTGGTTTCATTTCATTCGGATCAGACAGTTGCTGCCAGCCATGGAGGTTCGAGTTTCACCGAACCGGTTTATTTTGCTTCTTTTAGCGGTGAGTCCCACTTTCATTTAGTTTATTTAAGTTTTTGTTTCTCACTGTTTCATAGGAACTAGCATGTGAATGTTGTAAAATAATCAAGGTTTCTGCTCTAAAAATTTTTAACTGAGGCCTCAAATGTAGACTTTTAAATTTAAATTTGATGAGATATATGATACTTCAGACTCCAACTTGAATATAACAAATAAAGTTTCTGCTTTAGTTCAGTTCTGTGATTTTCCCGATTATTTCATGTAAACGCTTATAAATAAATCATCTGATCTTATAGAAAGTCTTTCTGTTACAGCAGTGTTTAACACCTATTATTACTATAATTAGCAGTGGTTTCAATAAATATGAATTTAAAATAAAGCAAACGGCCCTGTCTGTAGGACAAAAGCCCAATATTAAAAAAAGCAACACTGTTTTTAATTAAAAGCCCAAGTATCACCCACCACCTTTCAAGTCTTGCAGTTTTAGACCAGGTAGAGAAATAAAGGTCCCTGGGCCGTATTTAGTCCAACAGGCTTTGTAAACTGGCCCATTAAAAACTGGAACTAAATTGTTCTCATTACAGCAAAGACCACTTTCACTTGGTGTTTCAGCTAATGCCACTAGACGGTGCAATCAGACACAAATGATTTTCATTGAGTCGATCCTTTGATGCTACGTTGAGCCCGTCTGAAACGATCAACGCACAGAAGTGAAGAGAAATCGACAATGAGTGTTGAGTTTTTATTTTTATTTTTTAAGAGTTTTTTTCTCTGACATCTGATTTAAGGCAGTTTGTCCTTTTAGCCATGAACCTGTTGCAGTTTTCCAAAAATTTAAAACAAGCTGCCATTTTCCCACCAGCCGTGCTAACTACACTAGCAATAAGTCATTGCAAAAGTGGGCGATGGCGGCTCAGAGGTTGGCAGCCATTTTACAGAATCAGACAAATATTTTTCTACAAGAACTACATTTTAAGAGTTTATCAAGTCATTTGCAGGCATTTAAATCTGCAACATCCAAGAGGCCTTTCTTCAATGGAGTTTTCCTTTTTTTTTTTTAATAACACATGCATAGTGGAGACAGCAGAAATCTTGTGTCCCGTGAGTACAATCAAATTTAAAAATTGAGTTTGTCTCTCAGGACAGACTCGCTGCATTGAACTGACTGACAAAGACAGCAGATGAGTTCAATGAAAAGCCAAGTTATTTAGGTTATCTTCATTGGCTCTGGACGAAAATAACGGGATAAAAGACAACACTCAACTCTTAACTTGCATCATAGGATTGAATGACAATTTTGACGTACCATAGCAATATTTGCCCATAGAATCCCAACGAGGGAAACTCAAGGGGAGGACAGCATGATGTCATTGAGAGGCTGACACTACCTTGGTGTAAACTTGCCAGCATCACAACAAATGGATTCTCAAACACAAAAGTCTCTGAAATGAATCCAGGATATGGTCTACAAAGGAAAAACCTGGTCTGGATGTAAATTTTCTGCACTACGTAATCCATCAGGAAGCCCTGAAGAAGCCTGTACTGTAGCTGAATCATGTAACGAAGCCGGTCGTGAAGTTGTCAACTTTATTTGTAATAAGGGACTTCAGCATCAACAGTTTGTTAGCTTCTTTGAGGAAACTGATGCTTATCATCAGGGGCCTTACACATTAAACACACAAATAGGTTGCATGCACCAGATTCCATGAACACGTCGAGATGTATCAAAATGAATGTTGCGTGACAGTGTGTGTAAATATATGTACATTTTGTACCTGCTATGAGAATGTGTTTACCTCTAAACTTTGTCTGTCCACAGTATCAGACTTCTCTTTGCACGTGTGTGGCATACATGTTTTACACCCCACTACTTATTTAGGAGCATCCATGGCTCACATTCCATTAAATTCCTCATTTTGCTGCATCTAGACATTTTTTTTTTTTTACCAAAAACCACACATGCAAAACATATTTGCATTTATTTAACTTATTCCAATGGATGCGTGTCAGAGGAGGTGTCTCATGTGCGCACAGTTGCACTTTCGTTCACATGTATGAAGGAAAGAAGTGCAGAAATGTACATGTGCACGGTTTGATGAATCTGAAAAATTCTCTGCACCCGTACGTTTCTCATTTTGTCCCTACGCCAACATTCACTATGAAAGCTGCACATTTTTTGATGCATGAGGCCCCCAGAACATTTTTAACAAGTTTGTCTAAATATATTAAATGAAAATCTGAATATTTGGAATCAAAACCTGAATTTATTAAATAAAAGTGTCAGTAGTTTAAATTAAATAGGATCTGACAACATAAATAAATGGCTTTATCTTGATATTTAGATGCATAGACCTACTCTAAGACAGTTTATATGTTGTTACTGCAACACGAGTTAATGGTCATGGAGCCTTATCACTCACTGCACGACCAAATAGCAGAGACATTGTTAACATCTGGACTAATATCTTCAGAGTGATTAAAGCAACAGAGAAACCCACCTTTCACCTCACAGGAACTCCCTACAGCAGCCACCATCTATAACCTTCGTCCGTTCATACAATATAGTCAACCTTTCATTCCTATTTAATCTGACTTTTAAATTAATTAGTGTAGGTCAGCACTTTTCTCTCTAAGGTCTTGTGTATTTTTTACACTATTACAATAAACCGTTAAATAATACTACTTAACAAATTCAGATCAAATATACAAATCGAATTAGTCCAGTAATGCATTACCACTGTATAACTTCTGTATTTTGTACTTTACATTAAAAAAAAATAAAAAAAAAAAATTAACCACAAAAATTGCTTAAATAATAAATACTAATTTCTTTATTTACTGTTATGCAGTGTAACCAATGCAGGCATGTTCTTGTTTTTAGTTTACTACATCGCCTTACAACCTAGCTGTTTTTTTGTTAATTTTTTTAATACCATTTTATTTTCACTTCTTATTCTCAGTTTGTACGCATCCTTTATGATTGTCTATTGTTGTCCACTGTTGTCATCACTCTTTGTTAAAATCAGGTCTCTCTTGTCAATGAGTCCCAGAGGCTCAATGGGATTTACCTGTATAAATAAAGGTTGAATTAACTTTTTTTATGAAACGTTTTTATGGTAAAACAATTATTTTTAAAGCATTATAAACATCTAAATAGCAACAAGTTTTTGCAACTTTATATACACTTATATCACTGAACAAAAGCATGATAATTTTTTTCTCAATACGCATCAACACGCACACTTCCAGATGTGTGTGTGTATCTTAGAATTCTATGGGAAAAAAGTTAAAATCCTGAGATAAAAGTAAGAATTCTGATTTTAATCTCAGAATTCCAACTTTTTTCCTCAAATTTATGACTTTTTTCTTAGAATTCTGAGGAAAAAAGTCCTATAAATCTTCAAAAGTTCTTATCTTTTATATATTTTATCTGTGGTTCTAATTCTCTTCCACGTGAAATAGATCTTCTTGTCTGTACAACAAAGTCTCTACTCAACTCAGAGGCTCACAGTTGGTCAAGACCATATGTTTCCTAGCTAAAGGTGACAAGTTGGGACTGAAATTTTGTTGAAAGATTGTTGTGGGATCTCTGAAATTCCTGAGAGACCGATGAGCAGTTGTACGCTTCACAGTTTGTCACTCCAGCCAGCACCTTCTGCATTAAACACTGGAAGGTGGCGGGTGCGTTACGCAACCCAAAAGGCGTAACGGTGTACTGGAAGACGTGATCAGGTGTCATGAAGGTAGAAAGAAGTTCTTCAAATGCACTTGCCAATAACCTTTTAACAGGTCCAACTTTGTCATGAATTTAGCTGAGCCAACTCTGTCAATGCAGTCCTCCATCCTGACGAGTCAGCTTTGGTGGCTTCATTTATTTTTCTGTAATCTGTACAGAAACGGGAAGTTTCGTCTGGTTTTGGTACCAAAATGCAAGCGGAACTCCAGGCACTATTATTGGGAATGGCTAAACCATGCTGAATAAGATAATTCACTTCCTGTTGCATTTGAACACTTTTGGTTGAGTTTACTCTGTAGGCATGCTGCTTTATCGGTTTCTGTTTCTCAACATCCATACCATGAGACAGCACAGAAGTTTGGCCAGGATGGTCAGAGAAAAGAGACACATTTTCTCTAAGGAAACAAATGATATACTTACAAGCAGGTTCAGACAGATGGGACAGAAACAATTCCAAGTTTTCCAACTCCCAGAGTTTCTCAAACATGACATACAGCTACTTTTCTCTGTTAAATCATCTTCTGCATTTCTGGAGCATTTTCTGGAGTTTTATTTTCTGACGCTTTAGCATATTAATATTGCAGACTCTGGATTGTTTTCTGTCGGGTGTTTTCACAATGTAACTAACCATTAATTTTTCTTGTTCACTATGCATGGACCTGAAAACTGAGCATGCAGACTAGAACCGGGCAACGGGAGTAATCTGAAATTGTAGAATATGACCTTTAGGTGTGCTTAGCCCCCAGTGCTGACAATGGCTTTTGGCTTGAACAACGCAGTGTTCAATAATTAACAGTTATTACATTGGGTCAGACGAGTATGTTTGCACTCTGCACACATACAAACATTTTGTACTGAACTACTTCATTGTAATCTTCAAATAAATAAAGCAAACAAATGCTGTACACAATTTCTATTCATAAATATCACTGACATAATTCTAAATTAACTAATGATGCATCACCACTTTGCATATAGAATTGCCCATTGCAAAATATCATTGCATTGCAAATTGCCATTTGAAAAAAAGATGTTGATAAAGAGTCTCCCCTCATCAATGTGGTTAAATATATAAAGGTCTTTACTACTGTTTTTTTTTCTAACTTCATTCATCTTGTGTCTCCTGGGCTCCTTCCCTATCCTCTTCTCCTCCTTGTGCTGTCAACCAAAAAGTAATGTCAAAAATTATCATTCCAAAAAGTACAAGCCAGGTTACACTCATCAACATTACATACATATTTTTTTCAATATTGGGTTATTAGGCTGCTCAGTGGGGTTATTTTATATTCCTGTACATGAATGTGTCTGTGGGCCTGTTATCTTAAAAAAAGAGCATATGTACTTTGTATATCCATCTATAGAAAAGTAGACATTATGGGTCAGGGTTTTGCTGTTCCACTGTTTCAGTTCACTATCCATGAGGTGGTTCTATCATAGTTACAGTACATATCACCTTTCTATTCACATGCAAAGAAACATAGCCTAATATGGGCTAACCATAAAAAATAACGGGTAAACCTACATATAAATCAGTGGCATAAAGCAGACTAACTAAATTTGTCCTTTCTAGTCACAGTCTAAGAAACAGTGTAGACTAAGTTCAAGGTTCAAGGAGACTTTATTGTCATTTGCATCACATGTGGTACATGAGGTGGAATGAAATTTTGTACTCAAGGTCCAGTTACACCCAAAAAAAGCAATATATAGTATAAAAAAATAAACAGTGTATAAGGATCTAAGATATACATTAAAAAATATATAAATAAGATTTAGTAAACAGCAACCTGAATGTCATTTATGAGCAGATGGTATGAATATAGCAGCTTATGGGCAAGAAATCAGCAGCATTGTTCAAGTGTCAAATGTCCAATTAAAGTGTCATCACAGTGATTTGTCCGGTCAGGAATTTAAGTCTTACAGCTTCAGGGTAGAAGCTGTTCCTCAGTCTAGTGGTTCTACATTTGATGCTCCTCAACCTCCTTCCTGAAGGGAGCGGGGCAAAAAGTGTGTGTGCTGAGTGAGTGGGGTCCTTCATGATGCAGGTGGCCTTCTTCATGCATCTGGAGGTGTAGATGTCTGTGGTGGTGGGGAGGCTGACTCCAACAGACTTCTGTGCAGCCTTCACCACTCTCTGCAGAGCTTTTCTTTCTGCAGCTGTGCAGCCTCCATGCCACACGTTGATGCTGGAGCACAAGATGCTCTCCACTGCACACCTGTAGAAGGAGGTGAGGACTGAGCTCCGAGTCCAGCTCCCCTCAGCCACCAGAGGAAGTAGAGTTTCTTATGTGTCTTCTTGATCAGACTCGAAGTGTTGTTGCCCCAGCTGAGGTTGTTACTCAGGTGCATGTCCTAATACCTGTAACTGAAGGCCACTTCCACCTCAGATTCTCCCATGTGCAGAGGGGGGTATGTGTGTTTGTCCCTTCTGAAATCTCACAATCAAAGTTAACTTTTAGGGGGAAAAAAATCACTAGTCAAAATGAAATAATAATAATAATCGCTCCTTATTACCAATGGCCTAGCCTACATAAAGCAATATGGTCATCATCCATCGTGTTTAAAATATCCAATTAGAACTCCAGTAATGGGCTAGTTCTACTGTAACATTACCCAGTTGTAGGGTCAAGAGACAAATATGTAACATTAACGCAGTAGAAACAACATTCAGGAATTGTTTCTATAACCATTATCAAATATTTTAATATGTTTCATTTTTAATTTATTAGCCATACCTTTACATTTTGCTGGGAACAATGACACAGCTGCACTGTCAAACATCTGCAGAACAGTCACATGCATTTGAATTCAACGAGGCAGTGGCGGAGGCGCCAACAATTGCCATGACATGAATGGTAAGATCGCTCCGCTCACCCGGAAATACAACCCAGGGTGAGCTAATCTCGGACAAACAAACAAGATAGCTGTAATGGTGGAAGTAGTGAAGCTCACAGTGTTTAGTGAGACATTTCTGCCTTAGCAGCCAGCATTAAGGCGAAGAAGACAGGCAAAAAAAAAAAAAAAATAATAATAATAATTCAAAGATATTAATAACTTAAAATAGTTTACTACAGTAGATGTTTTCAGGCTGCAGAGTGACACATGGCAATAGCTAACAGTGAAATTCAGTATGTAAGAGTGTAAATTTTATGTTACACAACTATTAAATGCTTTGTACAAAATCAGTTTAGCATTAACTGATCATAACAAAGAATAACCTTGTGCAACCAGAAGTTGCAACATATATCTACAAATAAAACATAAAACAAAGCACAGCTAACTTCAAGCATTAGCCTATAATTTAACCATTAAGCATACAATGTAATTATGACAGAAGATGGAGGATTTAATTGTAGTTTTTTCATTCAACCTTTATTTAAACATATAAATCACATTGAGCCTCGAAGACTCATTTACAAGTGAGACCTGTTTGGACAGACAAAAAACAGTGGTTAACTGGACACATGTAGGAGTTGGAGGCGAAAAAAATTCCTATCAGACTTTTTTCTTGGCTGAGAAAAACCCCTAATATTGAAAAAACACCTCGCACAAACAAGTACATATTTACGTAGACGTTCTGCAATAGAGCAGAGCAGGAAGAAGGAAGAAACAAGACCGGTCAACAACGTCTACAGATGCTCTCGAGGTCACTGTAATCAGTCAATGTCCTCCGGTGAGATCCATAAACATTCTCGAGGTATGTTACCTTCCTACAGATGAACATGTGGTAGTTCCCATGTTGTATTCAGCTGATCATGAGGTTGGCTGCACGTCTTTATAATATTTTACATTTCTACAAACCTTATTTAGTATCTGAAATAGAACAAACTGTATTATATCCTCTAAACACTCAGGGTAACACGTGTCTGAATCGCATGTTCCCCACTGACGTTTAACCTTTTTTTTTTAATGATATTTCATGAAATCTCTATGACTGCAAAGAGTCCGTAAAGCAAAACCCAACAATGTTGTCAGAGGAAAAGGGGGTGCAGTTCCTGCAGGTAAGGGGCATTTCACTTCGGGACAGACTGAGGTCGCCGATTGGTCAGTTGCTGACAAACCTACTGGATTGATTGACAGACGGCATTGAGGATACGACTCGTGCAAAAAACATCATAGATTTTACTGGCCCATTTAAGACCGTCATCATTTATTCCTCTTTTTTATTCCAAATTTATTCCATATTTTGGTGAATCTAAGGATCGAGAACTGAGTTTGCTTACAAAATCGTAATGATGGTTTCTTAATTTTTCAGGGGTGCTGATTTAAAGTTTAAAGGTGTTAGCAACCCCCCCCACCCCCCAAAAAAAGGCTAAAATCGCCACTGTCACACAAAGCTATACAACGACAGTTGTAACAGGGAACACTGGACAACCTTGGAGATCACTGAGTGCTCACTGAAAGACCGCTGAGAGCAGATCAACAGCCTCTCAACGGTTTCGCCTTGGTGGAAGAACACTTTACCAAAACCCTGAATATCCTGTTGTGTGACTGAGATGCTCTTACTGTATTTTATCTTTCAGCTGTCAGTACTCGTTTGTTTTCTATTGAACAACTAAAACTTTAACAGCTGCTTCAGGAGGCCCTTAAAATGTTAGTTTCTAAAGTCAGATATCTTTAAAAAACAGAATGGAAGTACTTCTGAGCTTACTTGTTCACACTGATTGATCTATCAGACTTTGAAGGTGAGAAATGGATATTGGGTGAAGTCTGAACTAACTGCAGAATGTTTTATGTTGTGTCACAGATCCAGGTTGTTCTTGTGGTGAGGGCAAGTCCCAGAGATGGTATGGTACGGAAGAAAAGAGAATGGATTCTCCCTCCAAAACCTCTGAAAGAAAATTTCGATTACACTCTTCAGACATCTGTTGCCAGAGTGAGCTGCTGTTTTTTACACGACTTACTAATCCTCATACACAGTTACTTGGAGTATCATGAAGTACTGACACGTTGTTAAACCTGTACACGTTATTTGTGTTATCTGCATGCTGAACATGTCTTGTTCTGTTTCAGATTAGATCTGACCATCAATCTGGATCAAACGTTCGCTACTCATTAGAAGGCATCGGTGCAAGCAAGTATCCTTTTAACGTGTTTGTGGTCGACGCGCTCACCGGAAATGTTCATGTGACCAAGGAACTGGACAGGGAGGAGATTGATACGTACATTGTGAGTTCTTCTACAACTTTTATCAGTAAAAGTGATGATGAGGTGCATTTTTGTTTTGCGATTCTGGGGTTTGGTAGAACCCATGTGCAGGAAGGACTAGGAGAGCGCAGGATTTAAACTAGAATATATTTCTATAATGAAGAAAAAACAAAAGCTGACTTTCAGCAAATTTATAAAAATCAGGGATGACACAGAGAAAGACAGAACCATAACACCATACATGACAATACCCAGACAATAAGGAACACGACAGACTTATATACAGATGCTAACGATGACACCTGAGGAAGGACAACAGGTGGCGGCATGGGCGTCAGAAGCATCTGTAATGTGGGGGGGACACGTCTCCTTCACATATAATGGTTGCAACACCAATGGGTGGCTGAGGCAGGAGCTGATTACAAGAGGGAGAAACACTGAGGAGAGCAGGACAGAAGACACCAGATTACACAAACACACACAGATCCTCTCAATTTTAAACATACGTCCAAACAGTCTGTCACTGGACCAGATACTTTTTTCTTTTTGCATTTTCTCCTATTGGATTTTAAAATACTATATATTTGATGGCAGTATTCTACTCAGTTTTATATTTATTTAATTGTTTGTACAGTTGGCAAATAGTCTAATTTTAAAGCTAATTCCTGCTCTTTCAGCTAACAGGTATTGCTACATTCAAAGATGGCACTGAAGCAGAGAAAAAAATTGACATCCGAATCAAAGTTGAAGATGAGAACGACAACCCTCCAGTGTTTGGAAACATTGAACCTGTTAAAGTGAACGAAAACAGTCCTCAAGGTTAGTTCTCATTTAGCTGCGTAAAGGAACTGTAACACTACAAAAACACCCCAAAAAAACATCAACGTTGAGCTGAATCTTATAAAAATCCACTAATCTTTGTGAAGGATAAATGTCTGTTGAACAAGCAGGAAACATTTTTAAAGGAAAGCTGTGGAATCCTTTAAAACACTGTTTGAAACCAAAGACAAAGACAACATAAATTTGTTCAAGTCTTCCTTCTCAGGCTTCTCAAAATTTTATTGAAATGCTGTGTTTTTTTAATCAGGAGCTATAGTTACGAAAGTCAAAGCAACTGATGCTGATGAACCAGGCAACATCAATTCAAAGATTGCCTACTACCTGATAGATCAGCAGCCACCACTGGGTGTTTTTGCCATTCAAAAGGATGGAACCCTCTACATCCAGAAGCCTTTGTTGGATAGAGAAGTATGAACATCTGACACAACCTAATCTACAACTGTTTGCTTTTAATTGTGTTTGTACCTGGTTTTTGTTACCTATTAATGGTATAATAATTTATAGTCAGGACCAGTACTCCTTAAGAGGACCAAAGACTTTATTTTTTTCTTTATTTTTAGATTTTTAGGTTAGAGATTAGGATCAGGGCTTAGTGTGACTTCTGCCTTTGTAATTACCACAGTGCTTTATATATAATAATATGACTGCTTTATAGATATTAACACTATTGAGATCCATTTTTCTTCTCGACGTTTTTCGGCACAAATATTTCTTACACGATTTAACGCTATTTCATCCATTTGTGTATCAAAATGTTCAGCTCATTCAGGACATTCCTGCTGTGAGTTTGTGTTTTTGGTTTTAGAGTTTCAATTTTATTTTTGAATGGAAAATGTTTCAATCTCTTAACGTCCGTCAAACCGTTTGTGCTGTTTAAACCTTTTACTGCTCATTTCATCTTCTTTACGCAAATTTTGGCGTCTTTTAGGTATTTCAGCTTTTTTCCATTCTTTTTTGCAAATTTCAGGCTTTTTGTCATTTTTTTCAGCTTTGTTCTGATAATTAAACCTTTTCTGCTTTTCACCTACTTTTAAAGGGTTTTTTTAGTGCTAATTTTAGCTTTTTTTTTTTTTTTAGGTATTTCTTTATTTTTTGCTAATTTGGGCTTTTTGTGAATCTTTCAATATTTTTTACTTTTTTTTCTTTCAGCTTCTTTCTACAAAGATCATCTTTTCTGATAATTTCAGTTTCTGTTTTTTTGCTAATTTCAGATTTTTGTAATCTAGCAGCATTTAGCCTTTGCCTATATTTCAGCTGATTCTGCTACATTTGAAGCATTTTAGTGAGCAGGTCTTTCTTTGGCGTTTGTTCCATTTTTACTGACATCGTGGCATTTCTTTAAGGGATTTTAAATTTTGATAGGTCAGAAAAATCTAAGCAAGTGTTTTCTTGTTTTTTAGTATTTTACCTTGTTTTATATGGCACTTTGATTTATTGTTTTTATTACATTGTGTCACTAGCTTTATTGTTGCAAATGATTTTGTCTGTTTAAAACAGTTATCTCTTGAAAATGAGCCCTTATGACTTAATGAAACTACCTGTATTAATAAAGGTTAAATAAAATAAAATAAAAAATGTGCTCTCTTCAGCTTTTTCTACACATTTCTGCAATTTGCTTCCACTTTCTGCTTAACCAGACAAATCCCACTGAGATTACAGATCTCTTTTGCAAGAGAGGCTTGGGCCTGAATGCATGTTTTTGTTCTGTGGGAGGAAACTGGAGTACCCAGAGAAAACCCACGCAAACACAAAGAGAACATACAAACTCCACGCAGAAAGACCCCAGGTTCAAACTGGAAACTAAACTGAACCCAGGACCTTCTTGCTGTGAGGAAACAGTGCTAACCACTGAATTGTTGTGCTGCCGCTGCTCAAACTCCATTCACATTAACTGTTAAGTTAGAAAACTTTTCAGCCTGCTTTTAACTTTGACAACTTTCAGCAAAAATTGTTCATCAATAAGAATTCATATTGCATTTTCACAGGAAATTACATTTCTCTAGTTACATTTTATGTTTCCTTTTACTTTAAAGTTTAACATCGAATGCTGTTGTACTTTCAGGAACAAGACCAGTACATTCTGACATTAATGGGTAAAGACTTGTATGGCGAGGAAGGTGGACACAGTGGAACAGGGACTGTTACCATCAGTGTCCAGGATTTGAATGACAATCCGCCAAAATTGGAGAAAGACGAGGTGCTTTTCTTTCTTATATTCAACACATAAACATCATTATAGGCTAATCTGGTGTGTATTCTCAGACATCCAGGAAGTGATAAATACTGATAAAGCATCAACTCTGTGGACAACATCAAGTTCACCAGAGAGGTTGTTTTTGACAACAAGCAGCCTTTTTTGGACTGTTGGGTGCACATGGAAAGATTAACTCAAGTCAGAAGGAAAGGAAAAGGAACAGAAAAACATTAAAGAATCTCTCCAAAACTGTGGATATCCTAGCTTGGCTTTTGTCACATGACCAAAGTAATCTAAAAAACACCTTACAGAAGAGAACAAGGAGAAGTGTGCTATGTGTTGTCATCATTGTATGTTCCTATACAATGGCAAAATTGGTTCTCTGCATTTAATGCATCGCACCTGGGATGTACCCAGGTAGAGCAGTGGGCAGCTATGTGGGCGTCCGGGGAGCAATTGGGGATTGGGTGTCTTGCTCAGGGACATCACGACGTAGGAATGGCTGGGGATTGAGACTGGGACTTTGGGTTCCGAGTCATCTGCCCTGCCTCTACCCCATCTCGGCCCCCCCAATGAGAAGACCAAACACAAAAACAGTGTCATCCTAAATGTTCTGGTGTATCTGAGAAACTCCCAGGAATTTTTCCTAATGCAAAATCCCAGTACATTTCAAACTTGACAGGACTCTCAGACAGAGGCAGGTCAAGGACAGAACCCCCAAACCCAAACTGAGAGGAGTGGTGTCTGCAGGAATGTTCAGACCGTCATGTTGGAGAAACTAAACCACCTCTCCACAGACACATGGCTCAACGCAGGAGCGCAGCTCTTCAGGACCAGACTTAGTGGTCCACCTACATCTCAAGGATGAGGGACACTCTGGCGAGGACCAAAATGTTCATCTATGACCCATCACGTCAAACTAAGGATTAAGTCAAATTCGATAAAAAAGAACAAAACACATTCTCAAACTCCTGGCTCTTAAAGTTACATTTTGATAGCTAAATCATCCTGATATCATGAGTTAACAGAGAAATGCCTTGATTTGTTCTGCTAATCGGATAATCCCTGGAAAATTGGTCTAGATGTTATTTATTGCAAATTCTAACGAAGATTTCTTGACATCATTTGAAAGAGAAAACCTCAAACCATAATTTGGATGTTGAGATTTCCCAGCTGGAAAATAAGAGCTTTGCTGGTGCACAGGGAAAGTAATGAAACTAAACAGCTTTTCTGCTCCAAATCATTGATAGTTGTTGGTAATGCAAAAAAGTGTTGCAAAATATTATTCCAAGATTATATTTCAAACATTTCAGTCAAGGGACACATAGATAAGGTACTTTTTATTCATCTAATTTTCTCAAAATCGATTTATCAATTCATAGCTGCTTAGATCTCAACATACTACTTTGTGACGTTTTCCTCACTTCGATGTGATGGGTCACATATTTTGAACAGAAAAGACAGATGGTTTGAGAAGGGGGCGAAGGAAGCTATTTATGTTAAACAAAAAAAGCAACTTTAAACAGAGAGTCTCAGATTTCTTTTTTTTTTTTACTTTCAGTGGAGCAATAGGTACGCAGCACCCAGTCATTTTCATTCTAATCCAGTTTCATGACTGAGACCAAAGCAAAGACCCTGATGACCCTCAGAGGTTTAGGGAGTGAGATTAATCTGCATGCGAGTTTAGCTGCACAACAGATTAAAGCTTGGAACCTCACACTCTCCAGTTTTGAACTGAGAAAATTCCCGGAAAGCAAAGCTTCAACTATGGTAGAGAGGAATAGAAAATTAGCTGTTTAGTTTTGTATCAATGTAGGTTTTAATGTTTATCAGATTCAGAAATTTCTACTGTGAAAACATTTGATGGGTTTTAGTATTTGAGAATCCATGAAAACATTGACATGCTTGTGCTATTGATCAAAGAAATGATTGTCAGATGTGTTGTGAAGGTAGATATACGTGTTAATGTTATATTATATCGTATTGTTTTTTTTATTTGTAGTATGAAGGAAGCATTGAGGAAAATGAGTCTGGTGTGGAAGTGATGAGGCTCAAAGTAGAAGACCTGGACCTGGAAGGAACAGACAACTGGGAAGCTGTGTTTGATATTGTCCAAGGAAATGAGGCTGGATATTTCAGCATAAAAACTGACCCCAAAACCAATGAAGGCATCCTGATGCTGGAAAAGGTAGGCTTTATTTTTTCTCTCAGAAGAAACTTATGTGTTGTTCTCAGGTTTGAGTCCCAGTCTGTGCTCTACCTGCAGACCATTGTTCTTTATCTACTTACTTGTTTGTTCCATATAAAAGTCAGAGTCAGAATTTCTTTATTTGTCATTCGCACCACATGTGGTTCATGTGATGGAACGGAATTTTGTACACAGGGTCCCAGTTACATCCAACAATAAAATGTAAAACAAAAAAACAGTAATAAGATCTAAGATATAAACCAATAAAAACAATAACTAAAAATATGCTTAGCACAATTACAACAAAAACAATATGCCGAACAGCAGCATGAACACAAGTTTGTGTGAGCAGATGAGCTCAAATAAACACAGCAACATGAAACAGATCAGCAGCAACATGAAACAGATCAGCAGCAACATGAAGGGATTTTTCACAGTGATTATTCTCGTTAGAGATTCATGAGTCTAACAGCCTCAGGGTAGAAGCTGTTCCTCAGTCTGTGGTTCTACACTCATTGCTCCTTAACCTCCTTCCTGAGGGGAGCAGGGCAAAAAGTGTGTGTGCTGGGTGAGTGGGGTCCCCCATGATGCAGGTGGCCCTCGTCCTGCATCTAGAGATGTAAACATCTGCGATGGCGGGGAGGCCGACTCCAACAGACCTCTGTGCAGCCTTCACCACTCTCTGCAAAGCTCTTCCATCTGTTTCAAAAGTCAACTACAGTGAACTAAAATATTTTTAACGGGGGGGATATTGGTACCAGTATGTCTTTTCTTGGGGTCAAAAGCTAGTTTGAGATAACTGTGAACAAAAACACCACAATTTCACAATATGATGAGGTGCATCAGCTGTCATTTCAGTACATTCAGTATGAGTCCAAATGGGTTATTTTTTGGTTTCCTTTGTTCTAGCCTGTGGATTATGAAGATGTGAAGAACCTTGAACTGGGCCTGGTAGTGCACAACAAGGCCCCACCTTTTAATGGATCTGAGCCAAATTCTGTAATTGGGATTGGATTCGGAGGGGGAGCAGGTGGCGGTGCTGGCGGTGGTGCTGGCGGTGGTGCTGGCGGCGGTGCTGGCGGCGGTGCTGGTGGCGGTGCTGGCGGCGGTGCTGGCGGTGGTGCTGGCGGTGGTGCCGGCGGTGGTGCCGGCGGTGGTGCTGGCGGTGGTGCTGGTGGTGGTGCCGGCGGTGGTGCTGGTGGTGGTGCCGGTGGTGCTACTGGAGCATCTGGTGCCAGTGGAGGTGGAGGATTTAAAACCTACCCCATTAAAATTAATGTGAAGAACAAGCCAGAGGGACCACGTTTTAGCCCAGAGGTTAAAGCTATCCCAATTACTGAAGGAAGCCACAACATTAAAGAAACTATTGCCGTGTACCCTGCCATTGATATGGATACTGGAAAACCAGCTGAGAATGTCCGGTCAGTGGACACAAACCTAAAGCTTCTTAAGAGAAAAGCACTTTTATATCAATTCAACCTATTATTTCCTTAGGTATGCCAAAGGCTCAGACCCTGACAACTGGTTTACCATTGACCCAAAAACAGCTGAAATCAAACTGAACAAAATGCCAGACAGGGAGTCTCCAGTCCTTGTCAACGGGACATACATTGCTAAAGTACTCTGCATTACAGAAGGTAAGACTTTATAATAAATCTTTAAGTTTTAGGAAAATCTACTAAACCTTGTTGTTTCTCAAGATACAAAGGCCTTGCTCATCTCTTGTTTGATCTTGACTTCTAAAAAGTTCTTGCTCACATCAGTATGCCATTTGTTTTTTGTCATTAATGATAAGTGTGAACGAACTAATCCAAGGTGTAATGATACATTTATTCGTATTGATCACGGGACATGCATCAGGGTCTGGTGTGTGCAGATTACATTAGTTCCTGTAGATTACCATTCTTATTTAGATGTGGAGAAAAATGCCTTTTGCTAATTGCCGCAACAGAAAGAGAGAAAGGTAAAGATACATTCTACACCAAAGAAAGCAAATACATTTAGTTCAGATGAAACACAAAAGCTGTTTGTTTCAAATCAGCAGTGTTGATATACTGTATCTAGACCTCTCAAGTGGACCCAGAAGTTGAAGCCAGAATAGGACCGGCTTTCCTGTTGACTGGTTCAGGTAAAAGTTTTAAGTCCGACCTATTAGCATGCTACATCTGTGGTAGAGAAAAAAAAACCCCTAATGATTCTTAACTTGCATGGTCTGAAACACCATCTGCTTTCTATAAAAGAACATTAAAAGTGTCCCAGGAGCCCAATAAGCACCACTTACATATGAACTCTAGCATGCAGCTAGCTGAGAAGCTAGGTGTGAGCTGCATATTCTATACATTAATTTAATTGTCAGCCATCATGGAGATAAGAGGGGGAATTGGAAATAACCTCTATCTGTCTATTCTTATGTGCATGTTGTGATGCACATTAATTTATTCAAATTCATTATTCACATCCCACAGTGACAGGGGACATTAATATATTGCTTGTTTTCACGATTGTTTGTAAGGAACTTTATTACAATTAAAAAAGATATGGTAAGCCAAGCCAACTTCCCAACATCATGCTCCTGTTTCTGTTTGTCGTTCTCAGACATGCCATCTAAAACGGCTACTGGCACCATCGCCATCCAAGTGGAAGATTTTAATGACCACTGTCCCACGCTAACCAGTAATGTACAGACGATGTGCACAATGAAGAACACAGTGATTGTTGATGCTAAAGATGAGGATGCATTCCCTAATGGGCCTCCTTTTGAATTTGATATTGTCCCTGAGGGCACAGACGGAAAATGGCAAGTGGAACACCTCAATGGTAAGAAGAATGTTTTGAAAATCTATTGCCGTCAAAGCCTCTTTTAATGGCTCATTGTGGTCACCATGGTAATCACACACCTGTGTCTGTCATTCTCTGACTGTCAAGTTAATGACAAACTGAAAAGTAAGCTTCAATCAGTCACTGTGTGAAAACTATAAGTCAGATTTGAACAATTCTTGTACTGTGAGCAACAGACTGACAGTGGCATTCTTTACAGTAGAAACATCACCCAAAGTGTAAGCTGATCGCATAATATTGGTTATATTCTAAAACATTGACTATGGTATGCACGTGTTATTTCAAAGCTGCAGGATAAGGTATAGAAGAAAAAATTGTGACAGAATAGTAATAAAGATGCCTTTAAACCTCTGTGCTGGCACCCTTAAATAATAATTTTAGAACCAATGACTTAATAACGGCTTGTATTTTTTTCTTTTTTGAATGTAAGAAGAAGCTCACTTAACTAACCAAGGTGTAATAACTGTCCTGTGTCCTACAGAGACTTCAGCCATTTTGAGGGCTCAAAAATCCATGTGGCCTGGTTTTTACAAGTTGCAGCTTTTGGTGACAGACCAGCAGGGACTAGCCTGTCCAGAGCCGCAGAAAGTGACAGTCCAAGTTTGTGACTGTGAGGATGGAGTTCACTGTGGAAAACGAGGGGCCAATGGTCAGACTACGAAAAAGGCTGACCTAGGACCTGCAGGCATTGGACTGCTCCTTCTGGGCCTCTTGCTCCTTCTACGTAAGTTTGAAAAGATGGATAATCTCGTGATGAAAATAGCAACACCTACAGTACCACCTGGCGGCTGTGGTGCAGTGGTAGGTCAGCCGACTTGGGGCCATAAAGTAGCAGGTTTAAATCCCCGCCATGCTCAGATGTTGTGGTGTCCTTGAGCAAGACACTTAATCCCTAACTGCTACCCGGGCGCTTACATAGCTGCCTGCTGCTCCACCTGGGTTTATTTTATGTGTGACGGGTTAAATGCAGAGAACTAATTTTGGCATTGTATAAAAACATAAAATGATGACAATACATACCACTTTCACCTGTAAAAAGGCCAGGATATGTCATAGTTAAAATTCCACATGCAACCATTTTTCAGTGTTTCTGACAAACATTTTTTCCCAACTGAGGAGGCCTTTGCTGGGTCTTGACCCTCTCTTCAGATGCATGTTAAGAATGCATTGGGCTCACCATTATTGAAAGACTATGGTTGGTCTGCAATAGTTTTGAGCATGCAAAAACCTTTAATAATGGGTTTGTGGTGATTTTTTTTTTTCATACCGAGTGCGTCAGCGTCCTGGTAAGAGATTGAGAGTACGGTACCTGCCGGCTATATATATATATATATATATATATATATATACATATACATATATATATAAATGTGGTACTTGTGTTGTCTGACAAGGCTTGTTCTGCAATTATTTGACTAGGCTGGTTACAACTTCATCCAAATATGTTAACGCTGTCACTATGTGGTTGCAAAACTTAATCCACTCCAATATTTATCTTTATCCAATATACATTTATCTTATCCAGTATTTATCTAGTTGTGCTCAGTTGTCCCCCATTCATCTTTTAGACACAAAACACAGAGCTCTTGTTCTTATCATGGTCAGGCCTGCTAGACCAGGAAGAATAAACTGGTGGGTGTGGTCGAGGTTCTGTACTGAAAACTCCTTCACTTGTATTCTCGCATACAGCTTGATGGTGTTTACACAGCATGGTTCAATCTGATAGTAAATCCCCAGAAACCTTTGGTATACAATACCTTCAAAAACTGTTCATGCCCCTTGTACTTGTTCACATTTTTTATGTTACAGCCACAAGTTTTTTTAAAAATATTTTTAATTATGTGATGGACAAACAAAAAATGGTGCATAATTATGAAGTGAGGAAAATAATACGTTTTGTTTTTCAAAACATTTTTGCCAAAACAATCTGGAATGAAAAGGCAGCACGGTGGCACAACTGGTAGAGCTGCTTCCTCTCAGCGAACAGGTTTTTTTAATTTTTTTAATTTTTTTTTTAGCCTTTATTTATCCAGGTAGTCTCATTGAGCCACGAGAACTCATTTCCAAGAGAGACCTGTTTAGGGAGCAAATGGTGGGGGTTTAGGGCCTTGCTCAGGGGCCCAGAGTGGGGCGAATGAGGGTGGAGGGAGGTGTGAGTGTTTTACCTTTTCCACCCACATTTTGATGTTGACGGTACCGGGAGGTGAACCTGCGACTTTCCGATCACAAGCCCATCTTCTAACCTCTGCGCCACCACTCCCCATTTGAACCAGGTTACCCTGGTTCAAATCCCGGTCTGGGGGCTTTTCTGGGTGGAGTTTTCATGTTCTCTCCATGCATGCGTGGGTTTTCTCTGGGTACTCCAGTTTCCTCCCACAGACCAAAAACATGTATGTTAGGCTGATTGGTAACTCTAAATTGTCCCTAAATGTGAGTGAAAGAGTGAATGGGTTTTTTTTTGTCTCATTTGTCTCCATTTGTCCCTGTGATGGACTGGAGACCTGTCCAGGGTGTACCCCCGCTCTTCAAACTGTGATTGCTGGACATGTGCACCAGTGACCCCCATGACCCAAAATGGAAGAAGCGGATAAAGATGATGGATGGATGGAATCTGGAATGTTTGGAGAACATTTGCATTCAGTCTACTTTACTCTTATACCACTAACTAAAATTCTGTGCAGCCATATATTTAGTAGAGTTCACCTGTGTGTAATTTAATCTTAGTATATACAAAGCTGTTCTGTGAAGGCCTCAGAGGTTTTTTCTGTCACGATCAGCAGTCTCTGCTTGCCCCCCCATCTGCTCAAGTCTCTTGCCCTTTATGCCTTTTTCACATCCTCTGTTCCATGCCTCATTCACAGCCCCTCATGCCATGTTTCTTCCCCCTTCATGTCTCATTTCTGCTCAGTCATGCTCCACTCTCGAGCTCTGCCTCTCAGCCACACCCACTTCACCTACAGCTCAATCAGCCTCATGTGCTGCACCTGCTGTCTGCCCTAATTAAGAGCTCTTGTTTCACTACTCCTGGCCAGATTATCAAACCCTTCATGGTGTTAGATGTCCAGCCATCTTGTTCCTGCTCTAGTTCACGCCTGATACTAGTGATGGGTAGATGAGGCGCCATGAAGCGTTTCAACACATTGCCAAGCTGTACTGTAGTGATGGCGAGATGAAGCTTGATGAAGCGCTGAGTCTTTCCATCAAATAGCTCGACTCATGATCCAATGCACCATGGCGCTCTACTGCGCCATCAAGTGGACTATAAATGTAAAACCGGTAGATGATTATGCAAAGCTTTAAGTTGAATAAAACAAACAAACAAAAAAAAAAACCCCACAAAATCATGTTTGTGAGGACCTCAAATAGTCTAAATTTGATCCACAAATGATCTTAATCTGTCTTTATGTTGCTGGTGATGATGAATTTTTCTGTCTGCCCCTTATATTTCGAATCTCGTGCATGCAAACGAGCCAGTTCCTGAATCGGTAACGTGGTACGGCCCGCTAGCGAGGCCTCGAACATCACTACATGCATCATCAATACACGCCTTGATACACGCTCCACATAAATCTTCCTGGATTACTCGACACACGCTTCGAAGCCTTGACACAGAAGGACACGTCACTACTGTATTGATACTGTGTAAATTCTGTGTCACTGAATACTGACACCTGCTGGAACTTACAAATCCCTACAGGCAACCTAGTTGACAGACTCAACTGATACTAATTTGATGACCTAGTGTATACAATTATATAATTTAAGTCATTGTATTTTATATTGTATTTAATATTTTCATTTAAATGTAAAATATCTTTGATATTTTTAGATACAGTCAATAAATAATGTGAGCATGTATCATAACGTGAAAATATAAGTGAACATGTTGTGAATGAAGATGCTTGTGGACTGGGATTGGTGTTTTTTTTTTAACAAATTTTTATTCTTAAAAAAAACAAGTTTGGCTGGCAGTTCTTCAGGTTGAAATTCAGCAGAGCCTCGTCCAGCATCTGCTTCCTGGAAGCTTGATGGTTAGAAATGAGTTAAAGAATAAAATAATAGGAATTAATTATCAATAAAGCAACTGTGAGTAAGTTGTAGAATGACTGTATACCTGAGTTTACCTTGGATGTATTTGGGACTTCTTTCTCATGCCTGGCTCTATAATGCAGTGATCCTCACTATTTTATTTTATTTTCTCAAAAGAGCCTGACAGATCAAAGTCAAGGGGAAAGCTGCAATATCACTCCAAGTCACAAAAAAAAAAAATAAAAAAAAATGGAACAACCCACCTATGAACAAAAAAAAAAAAAACACAGCCAGCACATTATCTGCTTAAACAAAATGTACATTAGTACTGAGATGAACGGAAGCTGTGGTGCAAATTGACTTTCTTCATGTTGTATTTGTAATCTGTTGTTGCAACCACAGTGGGGCATTCAAGATGGGCATGGGTCAGTTGGATTCTCTGTTTTTGCTTGATAGTGTTCATGGTTAACAATGTTGACTCACATGGTGTCAACATTTCAGCTTTTAGCTATTACCTCAATCCCATGAAGAAAACACAAGTCAACAATAACAATGAATACCAAAGTCCATGCTCAACAATGAATATGCTGTAATATGCGTACAGATGAAGATGCCCCCCTTCACATTTCGGCCTGCCCCTTCATGTAACCATGCCTAAAACCGGCCCTGTGATGCTCCTACTTCACTACAGATGACAGAAGGTGCGGAGACATGTGGAGCTGGTAATGATTAGCTGATCCATCTGAGGTTAACAGGGCATTTTTTACGTCTTTTGACCGGCGGGTCAGTAGACGCGTTCGGCTGGGGTCGCGGCCAGTGATAAGCTGATCCATCTGAAGCTTTACAGGACTTTTTTTTTTAACCTCTACCAGACGGTCGGACTTGCCTCCTCTTCAACAAAGATTAACACAATTTTATATTGTGCATTCTTATTTAGTTTTTTTTGCACTGTATGATTTGTAAAACCGCATCATAGAAGCCCGAGCCGACATGCACAATCATTGCGCAATGCGCCAGCACGTTTTAAGAATTTAATAAAACAAAAATGAAAACAAATGGCTTGTTTTCCGATATGAACTCAAAATGGTCCCACAAGACAAAAACCTTTCATTTGGTTTGAGGCTGCTCCATAATTCTTGATGTATTTAATGATGACCAACAAAAGATCAAAGATTCTTTTGGCAGATGCATCACATTAGAAGACACGCTTCCTTATAAACAGTTGGGCGCGTCAGTGTCAGTTCGAAACGGCTCCTTTATCGGTCACGTGACTTTCTAATAGTGATACGCGCACCGACACAGGTTTTACTCTATGAGCTCGACGCATGCGCCGACGCATCGGTGTTGCTGGACCCATCGTTACCTGATACTCAAGTCTTGTTTTTGGATTCGACCTCATGCCTCGTCTTTGGGATTTACCTATCTGCCTGCCCCTCGTTTGATTTGTCTGCTTCATCTGACCCTGGTACAACTACATTTTCTGCCTCAGATATTAGATTTAGGATCACCTTTTGGACTTGTGTTTGGAACTCTGACTCCCTGTGCTTGACCCCTGCTTCGCCTTCTGTTTAATGACCCTGGATTACCCTACTGTTCACCGAATTAAAGGCCTTCTTCTGCAGCTACTTTCCCACCAGTTACAGTGACATCATCCTGCCCAGCTCCAACCGGTAGCCCCACCTCGCCTACCTGTGATGTGCTGACAGGTGGCTCTCTCCCTCAGCCTGTGAGGACCTGTCATCACAGTTGCATCCTGATTATTTTATTTATTCTGCAGCTGCAAAATAAATAAAACTGTTCTTGTTTTTACTCTTGTCTTTGTCTCTTTGTCTCTTGTCTTTGAATCCAAATACCCGGTCCATGACATTTTCAGGATATTAGTGATCAAACAGCATCATGAAGACCAAGGGTTTTGGGATTTTAGCCAAGAAGTGTAGCCAAGAAAACAACATAAAAACATGGTATATTTTAAGGAGCTACAAAGATCCACAGTCCATGTAGGATAATGTGTCCACAGAACTACTACTAGATGTGCACTTCACAAATCTGGCTTTTTATAGAAAAGTAGAAAGAATTAAACTGTAATTGGAAGGAGGAAATATGTTTGTTTTTTTTTTGCTCAGTGTTGCTGAGAAACAGCCAGGTAAGTGTAGGGTCTGTGATTTATATTGCAAGAATTAGGCTTTTAGACTGTATATAATTTTGCTCTAAAACTAAACTGTAAGTGTTTTTGGTCAAATTGATTTTAAAAGTGACAAAAAAAAAAAAAGCCAACAACAACTTGTCAGATGCTGCTAGATAAACACAATACAATAATTGGTTTATTTTTGCAGACATAATTTGCCTTTCTTTAAATTGAACTTCATTTGTCTCTTTCTTCTTTTTTTTTTACAGTTGCTCCCTTGTTATTGCTCTTCTGCCCTTGTGGGGCTACTTCCACATTTCCAGACATCTTTTCTGAAATGCCTTTTGACACTAAGTCCCACCTCATCAGCTACAACACTGAACGCCTGGGAGACAACACAGTAAGATATTCAGACAGCTTAAGTCTTCATGTGGTGTCACTGTTAAGAACGATATTTTGTATAAGGGTCACCTTATATTTACTGGTGTGTGTGTATGAATGTATATACCTGTATATATTTTTTTCTTCTTTTTTTCTTTTTATCAAAAAAGGGCGAACTAACATTTGTACCTTTGGCCTTTCTAGGACGTACCACAGCTGCATGTACCAGCACAAGAGGCTATGGGATTACATCAGAATCAAGTAGAGGTAGCACCTGGTTTACTGCAGTCAGTCCACTCCCTGTATAGGATGAACGAGATGGATGAGATGGATGGGATGAATTGGATAAATGGAAGTACGTTTCAAGATCCTTCCTCCAGTGTCTACAGAGATGGGATGTGGGGGATGAACCAGTGGGATGGCAATGGCTACTCAGAGACTGAAAGCAGAGAATCACAAAGAGGTGGTGGGATTTTTGATGGCATAGGTCTGTCGGACAACTTCTTACGACAGTACTACAACAAGGTGAGTAAACAACTAACCACAAGGACACATTCAAAATACTCTTAAAAGCTTTTATGTAGTTTTTGTGTCTTCATGTACAAACTACTGTATAAAAACCTTGTTGATGTACTGTATTCAGATGGTTTTCAAGCCAGTTATTCCAGAGCTTTGAACAAATCACTTTTATAGTTTGACATCCTGGTGTGAATTACGACAACGTGTTGGTTTGTCTGTTGTCTTTGCTAAAGAAAACAAGCTAAAACAACTTCTGTTCTGGAAAGCAACTGCATTTTTATTGGACCTTTGAGGTATAGTTGGGTTGATATGATACAATTTTCCACCTAGTTCCGTTTATATAGCACCAACTCACAAGATTAAATTAATTAAATGAATTAAATGAATTTAGTTGTGAATTGGTGCTATCTACAGCAAAAAGTCAGCAGATTGCATCAAATAATAAACTTATTACAAACCCCTATTCTGAGCAGCACATTGGCACAGTGGAAAGGAACAGCTCCCCTTTAAGATGTAGAAAACTTCCAGAGGAACCTGAACCAGACTCAGGATGGGAGGACATCAACCTCTGAAGATTGAGAGGACAGGAAAAGGACACAAACACAGCAAGACAAGTCCAGGTGTAATTTCTGACAAGAAACACAAAGAAAAAACAATAAGAATAATTCATCCATTTTCTTTTACACACTTTTTCCTTTTTGGGTTGTGGGTCAGTGGTGCCCATATCCAACAGTCACTGTGCAAGAAGCAGGGGACACCTTGGACAGGTCTCCAGTCCATCACAGGGACACAGAGACAAACGAGACAAACAACCAATCACTCTCTCTCTCACACCTAGGGACAATTTAGAGTTACCAATAAGCCTAACATGCATGTTTTTGATTTGTGGGAGGAAACTGGAGTACCCGGAGAAAACCCATGCCCAGAGAGAACATGCAAACTCCACCCAGAACGGTGCCAAGCTGGGATTTGATCTGGCAATCTTCTTGTTGAGAGGTGGCAACTCTACCAACTGATCCGCTGTGCCACCCAATAATGATAATAAAAATAATAATGATGATGATAATAATAACTGCATCATGACAATAAACAAAAACTGTATAGGCAGGATAGGATAAATGGGTTAGGTGCCAGCCCACTTCTACTTGGAACAACCTAACCCTCCTAATGAGTGTGGCCCTCTGAGGGCTTTCTAAAATAAATGGCCTCAGCAAGAGAAAGGGTTCCCAACCCCTGTTTTAAGTGTACTGGGGTCATCAACCAGTGTGAATGTTATTAACCCTTTCAAATGGGAGGTGAAACATATCCAAGAAACACAAAAAATGTCAATTTATCTTCTATTTAAGTGTTGGACATTCTCGTATACACACACCAGCACACACTCTCCAGCCTGTTCTTGTCAGAGCTGTCCTCCTAACAGATGATGAAAAACACATGTGGCTCATTTTATTCTGCTAGCTTAAGATAAATTGCAGTACACAGTTTACTTTAATTTATTTTCTATGTAACTAAAAACTATATTTTTTCAACAGATGACCAGTGGGGATGATAAGCTTAATGTAAAGGATGGTCTGCTGGTCTATGACTTTGAGGGCCAGGACTCCCCAGTTGGTTCCATTGGCTGCTGCAGCCTACTAGAATCTAAAGATGACCTGCATTTCCTGGACAATCTTGGACCCAAGTTCAAAACTCTTGCTGAAGTATGTGGAGGCACCAAGATCCAAACTGAGACAAAACAAGTGGTCTCTCCTCTGCCTAATGTTTCTGCGACTAAGATTCAAGCATCAGAATCATATTTGGTAGCTACTCCACCGATGTCCTCGCCACCCAAACTTCCTTTACCTGAAAAAACAAATCATATTGTCATGAATGAAACCACTAAGCAATCTGAGACGATGAAGGAAAGCACGACCACGGTGAAGGAAGAGATGGCCTCAGTGAAACAAGGGATGGGAAATCAAAACCAGATGCTTTTTGTTCAGCAGCAGCAGCAACCTGTCTACTACACCACTGCACCTATGATGCAGCCAGTGCACTATGTTGTTCAGCCGGCATTTCAGAATGCCATGGTACTGGCTGAGGCACCAGCCACCAACCTTCAAAACATGATTCTGGTTACCAACTCTGACACTGGATCTTCTCATGGTGTTCTAGTTCAGGGTCAGACAATGATGTCCAGTCCACAAGCCCAGGGCCTCAGCCCAGTGCTGAAGAGCAGTGGAATCTATGGAAGCTACAACAACCTGATCCACTCTGGAAACCTTTCTGGGTCCCAAACCATGATGGTTGTCGATGGCAAGGTTCCAGCAGGGTCAATGAAAATAATCAATGGGAGCCAGGCTGGCCTCATTCAGGGAGGTGCAATATCAAGAGGAGAACTATCAGGATCCCAGAGTTACCTGATAGTTGGAGAGCCAACAAATGGTAGAAGGCAGCAGGTTCAAGAGGCAAAAGGTGTCCTACAGAAGAATGAGGTGTCTGCATCACAAAAAACCCACAACAGAAAAGGAAACAAATCCACCGGCTCTCATAACAGTGCCTCTTCCACGGCAGTAAATACAACATCCACCATTCGTAACACTGTGGTGCAGAATACCAAAGAAGTTCACTGAGACGCACTACGGAACCAGTGGTCGACTTTTATTAAAAACCAGGAGGCTTGTAGCTCTGATCTGTTCCTGCTGGTGATGGGAATCCTACCCATCTCAAGTAATTCAAGATGACTGTTGTAGATATAAGGCTATGGAGACGTGCAAAAGTCTGGTCAGAATTTTTACTGCAGCTAACTTTGTGTAAAATAAACAGTTAGTGTTCAGACAAGATTATTGTATTCCAAAACCAAAAGACTCGGCTAAAGTGGTTTAAACACTGTTTTGTGGCCAAAGGCATACTGCTAACTGCTAAGACAGATGAAGCTTGATACTCAAAGTTTAATTCAGGCTTGTTTTATTTTTGTAAAATATTTTTTTTTCAGGTGAGTTACAGTAAAAGTACTAAAGCAACATGTCAAGAGTTAATTTTGTTAAAGCACATTTAGTTTATTCAAGTAATGCTCAAGCAACAATAAAGCTTTTGGCAGTGGACTGTATAGAGAAAAAATTTGGTCTTCGTAAATTTTTATTTACTGATGTAGCTAATGCCAAAAATTCACTTTTGAATGCTGCACTATTTTTTCACTGCTCTAACCAGGTAATGGGCTAAATAAAATCAGTCAGTTGTTAGTAATAAAATAGTGATAAGCTGATTCTCAAACTATATGAGTTTGTTCCTCTGTTGTCTTAGCCTTTTTGCACATGTTGAATATGTTTCTCCTCATCGGAAGATGTGCTGTCCATGGTCATTAAATATGACTTTGTGGTGTTGTAAGAATTTTATTTTTTTACACCTAATAAAAAAAAAAAAAAGTGGAAATCGGTGGACGTGTTTTTAAAAATTAATAATTTTGTTAAAGTTCAAATAAACACAAATGTTAGAACCAATTTGCTTTCTTTGGTGTCTTCTTACTGAACTAAATAGGTGTTGGTCCACGTTAACGTCAGGCATGTTCTTATTGTGGGTCAGAGCAAATGTGGTTGTTACAAAACAGGAAGCTATGATTTAACCCTGTAAAAGTCCTTAAACTTAACTGTTCCTGGAAAGAAAATTTGCACATTTTACTTTAAATATCTGCAGAAAAGTAGTTTTTATTGACATTTTTGATATTGATGAACTAGTCAATGCTTAAAAACTCTTTCAGCCTAAAATCAAAATATCAAATTAATTAATTATAAAAATTCACACTTCAAGTGTACTGAAAACTGACAATTAATCTTATACAAATTGTTGCAAAAGAAATAAAATATCCTGTCATGGGAAGATCCTTCATCCCTATACCAACAAGGCAACATGTGGATCTTCTATTTTATACCAAATGTTTACTTGTGCACAATACAAGTGTGTTTTTACCCTTTACATCTGAACTAAAACACATTTTTAAATTATAGTTGGCTTCTGCAGCAACCAGCAGCTGCAAAGGAGGAGCCTGAATCTGCCTGATCTAATATGAATCATGAGCATGAATCTAATATTCATACAAATGATCTGATATTCATGTAGATGATCAGATTCATGAAGATGACCTAATATTCATGCAGGTGCAAAAGGAGGACCATTAGCCTAACAATTGATCGTTAGTGCCCTGATGGCCGCTTGCTGCTATTCATAAGGGGCTGAGAGATACTAGCAATAACGACATTGTTGTGAGGATTGTTTCTTTGGTGTGTGCTGCCCTCGTGTGGTCTATCTATTTTCTTACCTCTTGTTTCTCTCACGTTTTCCCTCTGTTAATTTGGGACTACCATAGCAATGCGTAGGAGAGCAGTGCATTGCCTTGCTTGCATGGAAGGCACCTATTGTTATCCACCCAACTTGGGTTTCTTAACTGTATTGACTAATTCCGTTCACCTGTCACTTCACCCAGCTGTTACTGTTTACCCCTTATTAGTGTCCCTGTATATCCTGCTCACACAGCCTCATGTTCGTGCTGCTGTTCAACATAATGTTTTTATGCTACTAGTGCTTAGTGTAGATTTAGTTGATATTTTGATTATTTATTATTATTATTTATTATATATTTTTTATTGATTTATTTATTATTTATTATATTTCGATATTTTGATACATTTTATTGTTGGATGTAACTGGGAACCTGTGTACATAATTTGATTCCACCACGTGTACCACATGGGGTGCGAATGACAAATAAAGAACCTTGAATCCTTGAATTCTTGTCTCTGTTTCCCTGTCCGAGGATTATCCTTCCTATATTGTCCAGGTCTGCATCTGTTCCACTTGTGAATGCTCCTCATGTTATTTGTAAGTTTTTTGCTGCCACGTCAGCCTTTTGTTTTTCTTTACAAAATAAAGAGTTTTAGTTATTTCATCCTCGGAGTTCCCTGCATCTTGCCTGCACTCTGGGTTCAACCACGAGGCCTCCACCCATATAACAATGAACGAGTTCTCTTCATAAAGACAACTTCCTTTACTCCTCTCTCAAATCAGCGTTCCTGTGAATATCTTCATCCAGTGTTTAGTTTCCATGATATAAGACTGATCACAGCCCTCTGACACTGAACAGCATGGGACTGGATCTTTGGGATGAACCAGTCTGCCGTAAAGTATTTTGGTGTTTAAAAGCCACTGGGACGTCAAGTTTAGAAAATAAATGTCTCAGTTTTTCTGATACTCCCGCAACATATGGAATGACCACTGGTCTGGGTTCCTCCTTTTCACCTGTTGGCTGACTGGAGTCCTGTTTGGGTTTCTTCTCTGCTTTCAGGAAGGCCCAGTTAGGATATCCACATTGCTCTAAAGCCTGTCTTGTGTGGGATTTCTCCTTCTGCCTGGCTCCTGAGTTCGTGGGGACGCCGTCAGCTTTGTGAATTCTGATGAGTTCTAACTTGTGCTCCAGAGGGTGATGGGAATCAAGCCACAAATACTGGTCTGTGTCGGTGGGTTTGCGGCACACCTCAGTTTGAAAATGTCCTCCATCAGAGACTGAGACCTCACAGTCCAAGAAAGCCAACCTACCATTTTTTACAACTTCTTGTGTGAACTTGATCTATTTATCCACAGAGTTGATGTGATCAGTGAAATGTTGGACTTCCTGAGATTTAATTTTAACCCAGGTGTTGTCAACATACCTGAACCAATGACTTGGTGGTGTAAGAGTACCACCGACTGCAGCTCCTCTCTCCAAGATGGCCGCTAATTGCCACCAGCTGCCGGCCATCTCTCTGATGAGGTCCTCGACTACAAAAGGCAGCAGTCGAGTTCTACTCTTCGCTGGAGCATTGTGCTTTCCTATGGTATTTATGCTTCCAGCCTGTCCTTTGATATATAAAAGAGTTATTTACCTTGTTCTCTGCGTTCCCAGTCATCCTGCCTCCTTGGATTCCTTCAGGTCCTGGTCTGCCTCAGTTCTGTTCCTTGTCCTTGTGCCTGTCCTCCAACTTGCCTGCCGTGCCGATTCATCTCTCTCTCTGGACCCATTTGGATTCACCTCAGTGCTCTACCAAAACCATCAAACCTGTAAGAGAAAATAAAACACGATCAGCTGCAGGATTCAACCCTTACTTCAACCCACCTGACCTTTTCCTTGTTTCCCAGGGGCTCCAGAGGACCACTTGTAAAATTTCACTAGTACATAATAAACACTTTTAAGATTTTACCTTGTGGAGTCTTGTCTAGTTCTTGGTCTCGTACCAATCTCGGTTTCCTGAAATCATTACAGGTGGTGTCTCTGAAAAGGATGTCAAAGCTCTCTTTTCTACCTCCTCCATGTACAGGTTGGCCACAATAGGAGAAACTGGAGACCCCATAGCACACCCATGTTTCAGCCTATAATATTGCCCCCATATGTAAAATAGGGGGCAGTATGGTGGGTCAACTGGTAGAGCTGCTGCCTCTCAGCGAGCAGGTCCCTGGTTCAAATCCCAGTCCGGGGGCCTCTCTGGGTGGAGTTTGCATGTTCTCTCCGTGCATGCGTGGGTTTTCTCCGGGTACTCCACTTTCCTCCCACAGACCAAAAACATGCATGTTAGGCTGATTGGTAACACTAAATTGTCCCTAGGTGTGAATGACAGCGTGAATGGTTGTTTGTCTCGTTTGTCTCTGTGTTCCTGTGATGGACTTGCGACCTGTCCAGGGTGTATCCCGCCCCTCGCACAGTGATTGCTGGACATGTGCACCGGTGACCCCCGTGACCCAAAATGGAAAAAGCGGGTAAAAGATAATGGACGGATGGATGTGAAGGAGGTTGACTGCAGGCACAGTTTCAAGGGTTGACAGTTGCTCTGTGGAAAGTGTGGTCCTCAGTGCTGCTCAGAGTGGTGTCTGATTTTGATCTTAAACTGACCACCTCTACTGCATCATCAACAGGAATACACATAAAGAGTGATGTGACATCAAAAGAAACCATTGTTCATCAGTCTCCATGATGACATCTCTCACCTTATCCACAAAGTCCACGGTGTTCGGTATGTGGTGTTCTGAACTGCCAACTAAAGAGTTGAGTACAGATGCCAGATATTTGGAAAAATTGTAAGTAACAGAGTTAATCATAATAACTCAGACTGAAATCTGGAAGATCACTTCAGGAAGTGTCACGAGCCAAAAAGCCTTGGTATCATTTGATTGTCACTAGTTTATTTTTGAGCTCCTCGTGTTTGTCTGCATTCTTGGGTTCAAACCTCCTGAAAATGTTGACACCAGCGAGGAAGACTCAGGACTGTTGAACAGCTAGAATCCTACATTTGACAAGGATGAGACGTTTCCTCCAAAACCTCCAGCAACTGGTATTCTTAGTTATTGGATGTTTATAAACTGTTGTTAAAAGAAGTGAGATACTTCTTAGTGAGAAATGTGGATCTGGAACCACTTTAAAATGATGTGTTGCTTCAATCAAATTTAAGATTACCTAATCTTTTACTATTTTTATTGATAAAGGAATTACATAACTGTTATTCTCCAAAAGGTAAAAACAAATGACTGGAGGAGATCAGCGGAGTCTGCTCGACTAACAACAGCAACAGTCATTCCAGTCACCTTCTCACAATGAAATCATTACTGTTTCCACAATGTCTTCTGGCCCAGATTTTTTAAGTAATGCGTCAAAAATAGTAAAGAGTACTCCTGCTCCCTGGTGGACAAATGACACCACAGCAGCTCATTGGCTAACACTAGTTCTCCGTTTTTGTCTTCATATAATCAGCAGTGGACAGAATTTAACAAAAGTTTGAGAAGTTTTCATTTTATATACATTTACATTTGTAAATACAACAATCTATGCAAAAAAAATACATTTTCATTATTTTTTGTAAGAAATTTAAATACACGGGCAGCACGGTGGCACAACTGGTAGAGCTGCTGCCTCTCAGCGAGCAGGTTCCTGGTTCAAACCCCGGTCCAGGGGCCTTTCTGGGTGGAGTTTGCATGTTCTCTCCGTGCATGCGTGGGTTTTCTCCGGGTGCTCCGGTTTCCTCCCACAGTCCAAAAACATGCATGTTAGGCTGATTGGTAACTCTAAATTGTCCCTAGGTGTGAGTGAGA